CATCCCTCCCTCTCAAAATCAGTGGAAAAAACATCCTCAGGTGAAGATTAACCAAAACAAAATAAAAATAAATATGTCTAAGGAAAAACAAATTTGTCTTTATTTATTATTATTATTTTTAAATATATCTTTATTGATTTCAGAGAGAGGAAAGGAAAGGGAGAGAGAGAGAGAAACATCAATGATGAGAGTCATGGATCAAGCCCGCAACCTGGGCATGTGCCCTGACTGGGAATTGAACCCCGATCTCCTGGATCCCCGGTCGATGCTCAACCGCTGAGCCACGCCCGGCTGGGCCCAACTTGTCCTTAAAACAGGGAAGAAATGTAGACTAGTGCCTGATAACAGTCTGCCCAGGTCAAGGAGACTAGACCATGGGTTTGACGTCCCTGGGTAACAGCTGACCTCTGAACACAGCGACGGGCGAGAGCTTGTCAGACAAGCCGTGGGCCGGCCCCTCCCCGCACTGCGGGCGGCACATCCATTTTAAAAGTGCCACCTACCCCTGAAAGGCAATCGCAGTCCCCACAGTGACGAATGAAGGCAGGATCCCGCCAACCCCCGGGCAGCGAGGGAACGAATGGGCTGGGCCTGGACATTTATTTAAAGTGTAATTTGAAGTTTACGACGTTGGTTCTTGTTACTTGGGGACTAACTGCTCTCGGATCCACGCATTTCCCTGCGTCTAGTGGCCGACATTTGTTATCCGACTTACGTGGGGGCGCAAATTACGTGTCTCCCAGGACAGGAAATGCATCCGAGTGACAGATGCGGCCACCTCCAAGGTGCATGTTCTGTGCGTAATAGTCTGTTTGCTGAGTTTAAAATATAGAGCCGTGCTCGGCCCGCATGGCTCAGCGGTTGAGCATCAACCTATGAACCAGGAGGTCAGGGTTCGAGTCCCGGTCAGGGCACAGGCCTGGCTGCAGCTGGATCCCCAGTGGGGGGCGCGCAGGAGGCAGCCGGTCAATGACTCTCCCGGCATTGATGTTTCTCTCTCTCCCTCTCCCTTCCTCTCTCTCTAAAATATTAATAAAAACATATTTAAAAAAAATAAAGCACAGAGCTGTGATCACCGAGGGAGAGCGTTCCCTTCAGGCCAAAGACAACGAGCACTTGTGGGGTAAACCGCAGGCCGGAGGAAACGTGCAGGTGGGCCCAATTCTGTTTTAAAATTTTCCTAATTTATAATCCTGGCAGCAAGAA